GGAATGCATGGCTGTGGGGCCAGCCAGGGAGTGGGGAAAAAGCCATGGGCAGCTTGTCTGGAAGGCAGCAGGAAGGCTGGTTCCCTGCTGATGCACACACTTCTGGGGAAGGTACGTGGACTCCAGATTTGTGTGCGAGATAGGGAAAAATGTTAGATGCCTGCTGCAGGGCTCCCTGCCCTGCTGCCCTCCTGCCAGGAGCCCTGAGCCAGCCGTGCTGTCACGGTGAGGTTCCCCTTCCCACCTGGAAGCAGCAGGGGGTACAACTCTGCACAAATGCTGCCCCCACTGCTCCTGAGTGGGTAGAGAGTGCCTCACCATAACATCGTGGCTGGTGCAGGATTCCCATTGGGAGAACAGCAGGGCAAGCAGCCCCAAGCCAACAACAGGCAGCCCACATCTACCCCCGTCCCACACAGGTTCTGTCCAGCTAACTTTGGCCCTATGACCGGGGTGGATGTGGTGGGGGCGGAGGAGGCAACTGTGTGTCCCACCTGTCCATTTTGAAAAGGTCATCATCCTGTTCTCCAGGTCTCTCTGGTCTCACTGCAACTGGCCGCTCTCTGCCCAGTGGGACCGGCGATCAGGTCCTGCTCCTAGTCCTGCCCCTGCTCACCAAGCCTCTAGTGGCAAGTCACAGCTGTACAAGTGAAGGGCAGTCAGAACAGGTTTTTTGCTGCACTAAGTCAACACTAAAACAATTAACATGTCTTTGGCTCATAGCATAAGGTCAAAAAAGGCCTTAGTGTCACAAGGGGTGCTGAAAGAAAGCAACTAATAGCTGTATCAACCCCTGTTCCCCCTCTTGCCACCAAGCATATGTCCACCAGGGCCCAAGGGCTCCGGATTCTGTGGCAGGCCCTTCCCCTTGCGCCAGGCCCCCGCCACAACTTCCGGCAACTTACCAGTATCTGGGCAAACGGGTAGAGCAATGTTGTAGACCAGACCCAGCCCAAAAGCTATATGTCTGACATCCCTGATCTAAAGTGTCATCCACTAAAAAGCTAATATTTCCATGTACCTGGCTTTTCCATGTAATATTTCCATGTACACATCATGAAGTTGGAGAAGGCATATGAAAAATTAACAAAGACCAATGCCCTGAATATGCAGTGCAACCAACACTGGGATTAAATATATAGGAAACCAATTTTCTGTCATGTCTCATTTTTACATTGTGCAAAGCGAAGGAGTTAGCCTGCTGGTGTTTCTACTGCAGCACACTGGGTCCACAACCACAACCACACCCACCCACTCTGTCCCTGGCTGCACACCCACACCCACCCAAGCACTCTGCCCCTGCCTGCCCACCCACTCTGCCCCTGGTTGCACACACAACACACCCACACCAGACACACACACACCCTACCAGCAGCTCCATGCGCCCCACTCTGGTGATGCAGCCAGGCCACTTAGTACCAACAGTGCCACAGGCAGGAAATGCAGTGGCTGAGGGTGGGGCAGACTGGGCTGATCAGTCCTGCTGAGGCTGCTCCTGGGTCCTACTGCCCCTGGCTCCTATGAGCTTTAACAGGATCCAGGGCAAGTCAATACAATTTTAAAGCCTACGGGCTCCGTCTGCCTCCAGTTCTCTGACTGAGGTGGTGGGGCCATGCATCCAATTGCCACACGCCCTCTCCAAGGTGCATGTGTAGTTGGTCCCCCAGCATTACGGACAGACAAACAGAAGTACTAAGCCTTTTATTATATTAAAATAAGGAAAATTCTGGGTGGACCCAGACCCAATACGTCTCATTGGGTTCTTAGCAGAAAAGTGCACTTCAGCCTTTGGGGAACAAAGAAGGCCCTATGCTACCTCCAACACCAACTCAGATTCTCTCAGGATTTGCCTGCAGTAGAGAGCCTTGGCGACAGTAGCTGTACCTGCCTGATTATATTGTGCATAATGGGTGCATCTACACCTCACCCTTGGCACTGCCAGGAGCACTCACCTTGATCATGCCATCCCACTAAGTCTCATGCGATAAATCCAGAAATGAATCCGTGAAGCCACTGTGAGACCACCCTCCTTACTTGCCTGCAAGCATATTAGAGAGAGACATCTTGAGAGTGAGGTTGGTTTGTGAGACATGCTCAGGTGGGATGGGCTTCACCTCTCCCCCAAAGGTAAGCGTGTGTTCTCTTTCAGGTTGGCTGATCTCCTCCAGTGGGCATTAAACTAGGCTGATTGGGGGAAAGGGAGGATGAGGTCGGAGGGAGCCTTGGAACACCAAACCAAGTGTCGCCCACAAGAACAGCCCAGCCAAGACTGACAACGAGCACAAGAAATGCCCAGGTAAGAGACAGGGGTCTGGATAGCCCTGGGATTAGAGGGGTGGTTCATACACCTTCAGGAGGCCTTAAATGCCTATACACTAATGCTCGTTGTATGGGGAACAAGCAGGAGGAACTTGCCCTCCTGCTAGCTAACACAAACCCAGACGTAGTGGGGCTCACCAAAACATGGTGGGATTCAAACCACAACTGGGTGGTGAACATCAAGGACTATAGGCAGTACAGGAGGGATAGAACAGGGAGGAAAGGCGGGAGTGTGGCGCTCTACATCAAGGAGGAATACACATCTTCAACAAGCAGCACTGGGTCAGAGGAGGGGCAGACTGAAGTGCTCTGGGTCAGAATACAAGGGGGTCGGGGGGAAAGGGACTTAACAGTGGGTGTCTACTACAGACCACCAAACCGGAGAGAAGAACTAGACCGGGAATTCTCAGGTCAGCTCGTGGAGGCAGTTAAGTCAAAGGATGTGGTCATCATGGATGACCTAAACTATCTGGACATCTGCTGGGAAGAGCAGTCAGCCAGGTCTGACCACTCACATAGGTTCGTAGCTGAGTTCCAGGACCTCCATCTAACCCAGGAGGTGCACAGTCCCACCAGGGGAAAAGCCTTGTTAGACCTGGTCCTGGCCGCAAGCAAGGACCTGGTGAGGGGACTGCGGGTGCTCGACTACCCGGACGATAGCGATCATCGCCTACTGGAATTCACCATCCAGCGCAGGGTGGCAAAGGCCTGCAACAAGGCAGCAGCCCTGGATTTCAGGAGGGTAGATTTCACTGAGCTAAGGAGACTAGTCGGGGAGGCACTAAGGTCCCGGAGGGGAGGGGAGTTGGGAGTCCAAGAAGAGTGGTCATTCCTGAAGGAGACGATCCTCCAAGCCCAAAGGGTGGCAATCCCAACATGGATCAAAGGGGGCAAGAGTGCTCAAAAGCCCCCATGGCTCACCAAAGGCATCCAGGAACATCTCAAAGCTAAAAAGGAGGCATACACCCAATGGAAGGGAGGGGCCATCACCAGGGAAGACTATACCTCCATTGCTTGGGATTGTAGGGGCCTGTTAAGAAGGCCAAGGCGGAGATGGAACTGGGACTAGCTACCCAGATCAAGGACAACAAGAAGGCCTTTTTTAAATACATAGGGGGTAAAAAGAAGGTTCCAGGTAAAGTGGGGCCTCTGCAGGACACGCTAGGAAATCTGGTGGTCTTGCCAGATGACAAAGCTAACCTATTTAACAATTTCTTTGCCTCCATTTTTCTGAGCAGGGACCAGGTCATCCCCTCCACCGGCATCCCTGATGGTCCCAGGGGAGGCACAGCCAGGCCCAGGGTCAGTGAGGACTTAGGGAACTTCTGGTGGGACTGGACGTGTTCAAATCAGCAGGTCCTGACGATCTCCACCCCAGAGTGCTGAGGGAATT